AAATGACAATTTTTCCAACGATTGAAACAGGGTAAAAAAATCAATGAAAATTCATACAACAATAAAATTCAATGAAAATTCACACAACAATAAATAACGGTAATTGAAATTATTAAATCCACTAAATTTCAATGTAATTTAATTTGATATCTGATGGAATAACCAATGAAAATTTATAATAAAAGTTATACCAATGAAGTATCCATTGAAATTTTCAGTGAAATAACATACCGTTGGATTTTCATTGCTATATAACATTTTTTTATTTCTTCTTAAACATTAAAACTTTTATTATGTAATTTTTCTTGTTAATTAATTGTGTTTACAATTATTGTATAGAAAATATATTAGCAAGGAACCCAATTTGGAAAAGCATATTTCATCACCTGTTAATAAAAAATATAGCTAGCAACATTACTTTTGTGTATTATTTTTGTCATCCCCAATTCTTGCACCCTGTTGTCTGCGGGAAGTTCCCGATTTCACATAAACTGGGCCCACATGTTCTTCACCCTCAACACTATTAAATGAAATTACAATATTGCCATTATAAAATCCTTTAACACTATTAGATTACAAAGTTGCCATTATAAAAATGATAAAATAAGGTTATTTTAGGAAAAACATATTTTTACAGATTCATTGGCTCTTTTATAATAGTATAGATAGAGATGAATGTTATGAAAAAAAGTGAAGAGTGAATATGAAAAGACGTAATGTATTTATTAGCTAAATGAGGGTAATAATGGAAAAATATGTACAAAAGATCCAAAATGATATTTATTTTGCAAATAGTTGATAAAGCTAGAATGACATTTAAAAAAAATAAGAGGGACTAATTTTTATCTGCCATTAAAATTTTTAGGTATGAAGTATTGAATTGTCCCTAGAATCCAGAAAAACCAGGTTTTAAGTTCTAAATGCTGATTTCCATTTTTTTTATATTTGAGAACCAAAGCCAGTGGATGCTTATTTAATAAAAATGAATTTTTGAATTTATAAATCAACGACTGACATATGGCCTACACAAAGCGCAGTGGGTAGTCAATGTACGGCTCCTCACGCGCAGGTCATAAAGTCTAAGAGGACAACCACAAAACAGTTGCTCACTCAAGTTCCAGGCAAAACAAAAATATAATAACCTCAAGTGCGCCGCGGTGCGACGCTCGGCTCGATGCCCTTCTCCCCCTTCACATGAGGCGGCGGCATCCGCGAGCTCTCATAACAAAAATGAACATTTTTGTTGCATAATGTCATTGTTTTAGTTATGTCATTTTGTAGAATTAATATATACTATTAATTTAGAAGTATGTATATCTATTGTAACAACATACTAATTACAATTACATGAAAAAACAAAATATGTGCCATGGATTAGATAGATTTGAGTATAGGGGAATTCTATTCCAAAATTTGAGTATAGGGGAACTCTATTTAATTTCATGGGGAATTTAATTTCCATAAATAATGTACTCATTGCATCTCTAGAGAATCCCTAGAGGGCCCCAGAGCCATGTTACACTTACCATTGTGAAATTTAGTGTCTATTTATGTTCATATAAATGTGAATCCTAGACCTAGTAATATAGTATGTCTAATATCTGATAAAATTAGTAGATTAACTCATTGAAATATTAGTTTTAATTAGTAAACCACTTTATATTAAATATAAATAATAAAAACAATCAATAATAAAAATACTATTAATAGTGGTAGCAACAACAATAATAATGATAAAACTTAAATTGTTCGAATTTTTGATTGTGCGGTGGAGCAAAATTCATATCAGCCCGTGAATGCATAGTGCAAATTTAGTCCTTTTACATTTAGAGCAAAATGACAATTCAGAATGTGTGTACACAAGAAAGAGAAATTAATCCATTACACGTGAAAGGGATTTGAATGATAGAAATGGGGAGTAGGTGTATGGAAGTTATATATATAAACATGAAAAAGTTATATTGTAGTTTTTTTTTTCTTTTTTCAAGTTATTTATTCTATAATTAATATTATCAATTTTTTTGTCATCTCAATAAGGGATAGTTTTAAGGAATCAATGAATTAATTTTAATAGTATAATCAAATTTTAGTTGTTATTATTTCAATATGTTTCTAACTAATTAGTTGGTAATGATCTCTCAAAATTACAAAATTCGTATTATATATTATTTTATGCAATTAATACAGTGATATACGTGTAGTTAAATAATTTATATTTATACTTTTTACTTACTAGTAAAGTGCACGTGCAATGCACGTGGTGACAAATATTTTTGGCCGATAAGA